CACATTAGAAATACCCAAGGGCCTCTAAAAATTCCAAAATGTCCAGATTATACCCTGACCAATGAAATCAAACTCTCTGGAAGTGGGGCCCAGGCATCAGTATTTTTTAAAGCTCCCCAGGTTGTTTCAATGTGCAGCAAGGTTTGAGAATGACTGCTCTATCCAGCAAGGTCTGGCTCAGAGGTCTATGACCTAACTAGTGGAAGCTATTATTCCATTTGGCCTAGGCCCCAATTCAAATGTTGAGTTCTTTTGAGCTAGGTAGAACCAAAACCTTCAGCTTGAGCAAGAGGATCTCCTGGAGCCCAGAACTAAAGAGGGGCAAGCACCTGCATATCCACGCGCATGCGTGTACACACACACACACACACACACACACACACACTGTATCTTAGCAATACATCCACGTTCTGCCCCAGGGTCCAGGCTTTCTTTCTCAAAATATGGTATGTAAAATATCTACACCAGAATCATCAGGGGGTACTCATTTAAAAGTTCAAGTTGCTGGGCCACACCCCAGACCTGCTGACCAAATTACAGGAGAAGGTCTGGGTTATTTACCACTTCACCAGATGTTTCTGATCACACTTAAATTTGAGCTCTTTTGGCCTAAAGCTACCTAACACATTTTTAGTAGGCAGAACAGCCCTGCCCCTTCTGACATAACTAGCCTCTTGGGGTAGAGTGCAGAAAGGAATAAAGAAGAGAAGGGAAGGTTATCTCTATCCTTTCTGGAAGGAAGCTGGAGAAAAACAGAAGGGGCACAGAGATATGGCTGCCTTTTCCTACCAAAAGAGCAGCTCCCACTCTTTTATCACCTTGGCCTTAACATTTGGAATTACTTTTAATCCCTTTACTAGAAACTGTGGAAATCTCTTTTAGCTCACAGTTAAAGCCACTTCTTTAAACCTGACTAAACTCTGGTAGCACTTTGTTCCTTGGAGCAAAGTAGGCTGTGGGAAAGGCAAGCAGAAGCTTCTTCTTGAAAGCTGTTGAGTCTCTAGAGGTTTAGGAGTGAAAATCCCAGATTGCAATCTATTTTTAGCAGTTCCCATTTTAGCAGCAATTATGTTCCACAAATACGTTTGTAAGTCAATTGTTCAACCCTGAAGGCGCATTTTTCTATAGGAGCAATGTCAAATATGGTGGCAAGTTTCCCAGACTAACCTACATAAGCAGTAGGGTACCCCAAATATTGATCTCTGGACCTAATACCTCTCCAGGTTGTAAGAGGGCAGGGGAGGGTGGAACAAGGACAGCTGAGGCTAGGTCACAGTATTGAAAACCTCCCGAGGCATATTTCTCATCCCAAAATTTGTTCTCCCGGCTCTTTATTTTCTCCTTGCTCCTCCATAGATTACCTTGCCAATACACCACCCACTGCCATCACTTGCTGCTTCTTATGATCATGGTTTCTTCTACTTGCTGACTTACTGAAGTAGAGAGGTGACTTTTTACTGCCCTCTTACAACTCTTTGAAAATTTCCAAGAGGTGTTATCACTAGAAACAGGAACATTTTTGTGACCTAAAAATGTCAGTTACTAAGCTTCTCTGCAGACTTTTCACCAGGGCTGGTGGGGAAAAACATAGACACACAAAGCAGGACAGGCTTTGGACAGGCTAGCCATGGAACCTGTCCCATTCCCCCATACTCCTAGATTTCCCGAGTTTTGGTGTTCTCATTAGGTTCCACATGACACTGCCCCATCCTGATCACAGCTGCCCCATAAATAGCCAGTGATTCTGAGTAATCTGGCTCAAAACTCCAAAATGGACTGATCAGTCTGTCCTCTCAGGAATGTGAACTAAGAAACATGAAAAGAATTTGCCAGTTTGAGTTGGGAGGTGAAGTTGGAAGAGTCATGTTCATGAAAGTGATGGTTTGTGCAAGCTGAAGTGAGGAGGAGAAGGAACCATGAGTCAGTAGAGGAAGCTGGTCAGTAGAAAGAGGAGATGCTGGTTGGTGCAGAGAGCAGATGCAGGGAGAGGCGGAGAGGCAAGGAGAAGATGAACACAGGAAGCCCATGAAAGGATGGCAAGAGCTGTGTCTCAAATGCCCTGCAATAAATTTTCTTATTCTTTATCTGAGTGGATCACATACCTTGCAACCAAGGAAACCATTCAGAGCAAAATCACACTCTATTATTCTGGATTTTTTTATCCTCAGCATAGACCCCAAAAAAAATGACATCAGAAAGAGCCCCTTCGAATGATAAAAATGCTGCTGAGAAAAGTAGATTTAGAACTTGGGACAGAGATCACCTTTCCCCACTCACTCCCCTTCCCCCTCCAATGTGGCCAGGAGTCCTCCCAGCTCTGAAATAAGTTTATGTATCCTATGCTGATCATCCTGCCCTTGCTGGGCTGTGTTCTCACCTTCCACAGGAGGTATGACCACAGAGGGAAAATAGAACTCTATTTTTAAAAAGACAGAATTCATAATCTCAAATGACTGTTGTCTTCTTAAAAAATTGGTTACCTTCTCTAACAATCCTCAAGAATGCTGTCTTTGGCAAAGACATTCCTGTCATGAACTCCTCTTTGGAAATGGTCCTGTGAATCCATGCAAGCAAAGGAAGAAAAGCAGTTTCTTTTGTTGGCTGAAAGCTTCTTGCCATCCTGAACTGACTAGTTTATTTTAGCAACTGGACTATTTAGATCAACTACTTAGCAGGTGCTCAATGAATGTCTCTTGAGTAGAAATTTGTTAACAGTGTGTTGGTGCCTTCCTTACTCCTTGATGATGAGTTAATTCATTCACCAGTCTTTCTCTCTTCTACTAGACTAGTCAGGACTCACTTGATTGTAAGGTAGAAATCCAAATAGAAACCACTAGGCAAAAGGAGAGTTTATTGGCTTATGACACAAGAGTCCCAGGATAGTTTTTGTTGCAAGTACATCTGGGTCCAGGAGCACAAACCGGGACTTGGTCTCTCTCATGATATAGATATGTACATAAGTGTGCACATGTGTATCATTGCTCAATTCTCAAATCGGCTTTCTTTTGTGTCGGCCTCATTATTAGGCCTGCTGTCCCCTGGAGCGGCAAGATGGTGACTAGTAGTGTCATGCTTCCCTCATAGCAGCGGAAGAAATTCTCTTCCCAGCAGTTCAAACCCAAATCCCAGAACTGAGCGCTATTGTGGTGTTTCAGTTCAATCACTGTGCCAGGCCTGAATCACATGTCTGTCCCCATAGAACTAGTGGTTAAGTCATCCCATCTGAACAACTTAGATCTAGTGAAGGAGGGGGAGGTGGATATGGGTGCAGTCACCAAAATGAGGAAAGATGGACATTTCCTAAGACATTATATTTATTTTTTATTTTTTTTAAATGTATTTATTTATTTCAAGAGAGACAGAGAGGATGAGTAGGGGAGGGCAGAGAGAGAGGGAGAAAGAGAATCCTAAGCAGGCTCTGCGCTGTCAGCGTGGAGTCCCAGGCAGGGCTTACACTCACAAACCACGAGATCATGACCTCAGCTGAAACCAAGAGTCAGAGGCTTAACCAACTAAGCCACCGAAGTGCACCTCCTAAGACATTTTAAAAATATTTCTCCTTGAGAGCCTTCAGAGGCAGAGTGAAAAATAGAACAAATGCAGTCTCTTCAACCTGTAATTGGGTAAGAGGATTCTGGGTAGATGAAAACAACAGATGTCCACTATGAATACATTGTACCATTTCCAAAAATCAAATCCACCCTCAAAGGACAAATTTTGTCACCATTAAGGATGTTCAAAAGAACATTCTCCCCTGAAGGGAAGTCCAAAAGTGTTTCCAGACCAATCACATCACTGGAATATAAGCATACAAGTTCTCTGAGGACTCGCCTGAAGGGGCCAGTGCTCATTTATATGTAAGAGTTCTGTCATGTGGATAAGTCTAATCACTCGCATTAATCTGAAGTCACACTTCATACATCTTCCATGCTGATGAATTGTTGCTATGCAAGTGAGTCAGGAAATTTCCTCTGGTCTATTTCTGGTGGGCTCTGGCTTTCATTATCAGTGGCTGCTAACGCTACTTAATAGAAAGGAAAACAGCTGATACCACCAATTGAAAACAGTTGTTGCAGAACTGGCCAGTTCAATAGCCCGAGTATTTTATTTATCCTTGCTTATGGCTAAGCACCTTGAAACCTTAAGAATGGCTCCACTCTAACCCCTGAGTCGTGACATAGGCAGTCATAAAATGATTTGGGGAACAGTTTATTTTGAGGCAATCCATTGTGTTTTTTCCAGATATTTCCATCTTTCCATGTATTCATTTGTAAGTTCATGTCTGGAAGCGAATACACCATACTTAATGCAAGCAGGTTTTCATAGGGAAATTTTGAAAACACAGGTGACCCAATGAAATACTAGGTTACCAGGAGAATTGAAAAGTCAACCTGAAATGATAGTGAATTAAAACTAAAAAATGGGAGTTATTTTACCCTTTCAGATAATTGTCTTTCAAATGACCTGGGAGTTTTGTTTTATTTATCCACTGTGGCTACTTAGATTTTGTTTTAATGTTTTTTGGTCATGAGACCACCAAAGCAAACAAATCCAAAACATGGGGGAGGATGTTTCAATTCTCCTAAAGGTTGAAATAGATCCTTTTATCTTAAATGATGACTTACATCAGTATGTTGATTAAAGATTGGGTCACTAATATGGTGAATTAGAGTAAGACAAGCTTTCTTCCTGCTGCCTTTCGTCCAGAGCACTCTTACTGGGAATGTGCTTTGTGTCCTTTATAATTTCTTCATAGAAATCTAGGACAGGGGTGCCTGGATGGCTCACTCAGTTGAGCATCCAGCTTCAGCTCAGGTCTTGATCTCACGATTCATGGGTTCGAGCCCTGCATCTGGCTTTGTGCTTCCAGCTCAGAGCCTGGAGCCTGCTTCAGATTCTGTGTCTCCCTCTCTTTCCTGTTCACACTCTGTGTCTGTCTCTGTCTCAAAAATAAAATAAAAAACATTTTAAAAATTAAAAAAAAAAAAATCTGAGGAGAGTAGCTCCTTGTCCAGTTTACCAGTTGTTTGTGAAAAGCCAAGGGGGCTCAGCTCTTACTCTGCTGAAAAGAGGCTTCAACAGGCTATGCCTCGCCACCAGGGCAACCTCGTCCCAGGCATTGCAGGTGTCACACACGTTGACAGTAGGATTTACGGGGTCTAAAATGAACGGCCTACAACAAAACAAAACAGAACACAAAACTATTCATTTCTAAACTCAATTTCAATTTGTAGTATAGTGAGAAAGGGGAATGTCAGAGTTAAAAAAAGGAATTTGGTTAAGAACAGGACTCTTGGAAGGGTGGAAGCAGGTCCACGAGGGACTAATACCTATCAGAAAACAGCAAGTTGCTTCTGCCCCTCCAACTCTGACTCCCTCTCATTTTTCCTCTTCACCTCGGGAGGCATTTCTTCCCTGGTTTCAGTCTTCAGTTACCTCTCCATTTGCCATCTACATCCACATTTGATTCATTCTACTCAAATTATTCTTAATTCACACTTGAGAAGTAAGATTCTGTGAGAAGTAATCAAAGGGAATTGGCTTTGTGGTAATTAAGGCCTTCTCATTTACAATGAATGGCAATAAAGCAACTCCTTGCTCCAGACTTTCTTGATGGTAAACATGCTTCTTATAGCCTAAGGGCATAGAGAAGATACATACTTACCTGGTGTGTTTCTGGTTAACCTTTACAAAAATGGGGAACTTGGGATGGTAGTGTCTGTGCCAAACGACATCAATTTCTGTGTATCGAACCAGAAGTTTGAGGACTGCCCTCATTCCCTGCACCAGGTTGAACAACAGCGGCTTTCCTGCCAGTTCCCAGATGTGAATTGTGAGGAGCTCCACTGTGTAAGAGGAGGGAAGTCTGCGGAATCTAGACACACAGAACGAAGGGTTGTCTACTTCCCTTAACCCAGAAAATGAAGACAGATTTATTCACTTACGAGAAAAATTTAAGCTCAGAAGGCAGTTTACAAAAGAAGAAATTCTCTTTTCAATCTCACTGTTTATCAATTTTCCCACCAATGAGATGGACCAAATATAAAGAATTATGATATCTAATATTGGTGAGTTTGTGAGAAAAGAGACACTCTCACATTCTATTGGTGAGGATGTAATTTAATACAGTCTTTTTTTCTAAATTAAAACAGTCAACTCTACTAAAATTTGGTATGTTCCATCGCTTTGGTCAGCATTTTTCACTTCTCATTCTGTAGAGAATGTGGCTAGTCTGACTTGGGCACACACTGGATTTTGAAGACATATTTAAAAAAGGAAAATACTCATAATTTTTACATTGATTGCCTGTTGAAATGATAACATTTTGGATATAGTGGCTAAATGTATTATTAAAAGTAACTTCATCAGTGCTTTTTACCTTTTTATTTTTTTAATTGTTTTAATGATTATTTTAGAGAGAGAGAGACAGATCATGAGTAGGGGAAGGCAGCAAGAGAGAGAAAGACAGAATCTGAAGCAGGCTCCAGGCTCTGAGCTGTTAGCACGGAGCCTGACTCTGGGCTCGAACTCACAAACATGAGATCATGACCTGATCCAAAGTCGGTTACTTAACCAACTCAGTCACCTAGGCACTGCTACATTTTACCTTTTAACGTGGGTACTAGAATATCTAATATTGCATATGTGGCTTGTATTTGAACATCACTATACTTTGCAGTCATTAAAAGAAGGTAGCTCTCTAGGTACAGCTATAAAAAGATATAGATTAAATGAATAACAATTTTCATAGTGATACATAAACTACAAACCCATTTGTTCCTTGTTTTTTAAAAAAATTAAGCATATGTAAAAAACAAATTTGGCAGAATATGTCCTAAACATTGTTAGGGAGGTGGGAATTTGGAGTGAAGAAGGAAAATTTTCTTACATCGGTCTTTTAAATTGCAGCTTATGTACATCAGGGGAAATAAAATAAAAATTAAAGCTAGGGGTTATAAACAAACTCATGGGAGAAAAAAAAAACAGATAGTTTCAGGATTCCATGTTGGTTGATATCCAAACACATATTTTGTTGCCTTGGCATTCATTAGCCAGTGCAATCTCTTTTGAGGATATATTGCAAAATCATGCAGTTCTTCCCCTAATAGCATGGAAATATTTTCTTACTATCATTATTGGTCGTTTGTTTTTATTTCAGTAAAGAAAATAGGAAAAACTAAAAGGAGACAAAATTTTTTGTCCTGGTAATGAAATAGCAAACCAGATTTCAGACTATCAATAATTTAGTTCTTACAATACTCCCTGAGCGTTGACAGCAACAAACACCAGACTTCAAATCCATCCCCACTTGAACCAGCTGGTATTCCCAAGTGCCAAAAGAAAGTCATGGTTGAAAACCACTCAGGCAGAGGATGCTCTTCATATGACATGAGAGTAAATTTAGGGGGAAAAAACTTAATAAACATTAGACTATTTTCCCTCACATTTTACAGCACATTTACATCTGTACTTTCATACTTCTGATACATGTTCATACTATTTATTCTGTGTTATGTTTTAGTCGTTTAACATTGTTTCATGTAACTCCTTCCACATATTAATTACCGTGCTTCCCAAATTTGTCTTGAATAGTATTTGATCATATTTGTGGGCAAGTTTATTTGTTCTTCAAGGGCATTTTTGCTGTTCTTTATCTTAAGCAGTACTATTCTGAATATATTTACACAAATTACTTCTTTAAATGCATTCATTTTCTGTAAGGTTAGTTCTCGAAGTATTTCTCATCTCTTTTCTTAAAAATCTTTATTTTTAGTACTTTTTTAGGACATATTTTTAATATAAATGACCTCAACTCTTTTTTGAAACCAACTAATAAACTCTTTTTTTTTTACTTTTTACTATCACTTTTTTTTTCAATGTTTATTTATTTTTTTGGGGAAAGAGAGAGACAGAGCATGAACGGAGGAGGGGCAGAGAGAGAGGGAGACACAGAATCGGAAACAGGCTCCAGGCTCCGAGCCATCAGCCCAGAGCCCGACGCGGGGCTCGAACTCACGGACCGTGAGATCGTGACCTGGCTGAAGTCGGATGCTCAACCGACTGCGCCACCCAGGCGCCCCTACTTTTTTTTAACCTATAAAGGAATTACCTTGACAAATGTTTTGAATATTTTAAAATCCTTAACACATAATAAATATTTAATACAACACTACCAGATTACTTTCCAAAAATAGAAAACCAATTACCATATTATAACATATGTGGTCCAATTTCCCCCACAATAGCACCTTTTTAAGTCTTAGAATTATTGTTCTGCTACGCTAAGAGATAAGCTTCTTTGCAGACCTCTAAATGCTCTCCGTTAAAAAACAAAACAAAACTGTTAGATTTCAAAACCAGGCCTATAATCTGACCAAGGATCTACTCAGGCAAGAAACTTTCTTTCTTGGTCTTCTGTTCTTCTATTTTTAATAATAAATTTTTGCTCAACCAAATGAGAAAAAACATATAGACTGTTCAGAGATGTTTAGATACAGGAAGAAATTATATAGAAATATATGTTTACAAAGTGACTAATGTTTTCTATGGTAAACATAAAAATATACAAAGAGTAAACAGTGGGGGATTCAGATGAACAAGTCATGATTATTAGTAACTTTATACAAAGACAAAGAAGACATACTCTTTGTAGAAAGTGGCCATATACAAATATGTTATAGTAAATCTCCTGTCTCTGCTATTTCTGCCAAAAGGAGAATTCAGATATATTCTATGTCTTTGTTTATCAAAAGTTTATCTTAAAATACTCAAACCAGTCACTGTCTCCCTCACCTCCCATCATTATAAGTTAGAGCTTATTCCCAGCAAACGCAAGGAAAGAATCAAGAACATGCACATAGCAACTTTTGAGGATCCCCCTTCTCTGAAAGACAACTCTGCCTCTGATAGAATTGGCTACAGCAGAAGGAACACTTGAAGCTCAAATTGTGCTGGTAGTTTCCCCTTTCTTTTTCCTGCGGCTTCGTTCTTTGCACCAATCCCTCTGGCTATGCCACTGAATATTTTTGTTTCTATTCTTTGGTTCCTACCAAACCATTATATTGTTTCAGAATAATAATAATAATAATACAGATGTTCCATATTCTAGACAGCCCTTTCTTCTCTCTCTCTCTCTTTCTCTCTCTCTCCCTCTCTCCCTATATTTCCCTCTCCTCTGCCTACCAAGGTAAGAGGTGGGGCCTGGAAGTATAAAGGAAAGGGATATGAAAAGAGGAAGGCTCACATGGTGCCCATGTGCTGGTTACATACTTATTTTCCTCGGTGGACTTGGCAAATGACGTCTTGAACCAATGTATCATTAAACGAATGAGCTCCTTCACCCTCACCACAGATGCCTTGACAAAATCCACTTGGTACGGCAAGAGGGCCAAGGCACACAGCTGTGCTGAGTCACTGTCGTTACAGAGATACAGTTTGCGGTAAAGGTGTTTTAAATCTGTTAACACCAAGGAACAAAGACCATTGTGAGAATTTGCTCCCTCTTCTTTTTTGGCTTCCCCAATACAAATGAGCTATGTTTCTCTGATTAATTAGATCTTGATCATTTAAAACGAAAGTTGTTTTTTTTTTTTTCTTTTTAGGAAAGTTATTCCAGTTTACTCAAGTAATTAAAAGAGAGAGCTTCAACATCATGATGCCTGAGCAATTCAAGTGAGCAAACTCTGATATAAGAAAATCTGATGCGGCAGATTTTCTGTCTATTCACACTGGAAGTTTATTTCCCAGAAGCAGATTTCAGTACCTTAGGCAAATATCATCTACATATAAACTAAATGTCATCAGACTCTCTGAACAATAACCTATATAATTCCCCTTGTTCAATATCTAAATTGTTCTTATTTGTATATATACTTGCAGAAGAGATTCTACCACCTGGACACGAGGGAATTAATTATATTTATAAAGGTAGAAATGATTTTAAAGATGTATTTGGGTCAAATTTAAAACAAATAGTCCACTAATGAGGGAGGAAAATGAGATTAAATGGCAAGAATGACCATCAATAGCTTAATACTACAACCTTATAAAACATGTACTCAGGTCATGCTTATTCTCTCTGTATGAAATATAAATGTTTAGTACCTTTTATCATAATCTATTTAAATTTTCCCAATTCAAAACAATTGGAAATTCTAATATGAATTTATTTTAGACAGCCCTTACACATACCTATCCTTCTGCCCAACTAAATTGCACACAATGATACACTTGTTAATCATGGAAAATTTCACATCTACAATATGTATTTTAAAGTTAATTGGTTAGTAACTTTACGTTAGTTATAAAATATATTTTACATAAAGTAAAATACTGATGTGCCTTTATCTGGATCCCTAATCTCAAGCATATCTGTGCAGTCCTTTTATCCTGGTCCAGTTGTTTATGGCCAAATCAGAGATATAATAGTAGGTTGATTATCAACAGGTTAGAGAGTAAAATCAAATTACTATGATAAACATAAGCAAATAAATAGAGTTATATATGACACATATCTTATAAGGGCATATTATAACAAACATATTCTAGTCCCAAATTTCCAGGCAATAGTCATTTGAACTATTAAAAAAGACCTTTCAGTTTTACTCGGAGCTTTTCTCTGCCTTTCTTAGCAATCAGACTTGGCCAGAAACTCAGATTTATGATGATAAAAGATAAAAGAAACAATAATTTAACTCAAATTTTGATATTCAATAAGTGTGCCAGATACTTGATAAACTCTATTTATCTGATGAGATGTCATGGCTGACCTGGGGATTACCTACTCAAAGCCACTGGTATATGAACATTTCCCCTCCTTCAAAGGTCTTCACTGACAAAAACCCAAGTTTGTGGTCCCTAACTTATTTTTAATGCTTATGGTATTCTATTTCTACTCTGTGTGACTTAGGTCAGTTTAAGAAACTTTAGTTTAGTATTATCACATCATCACCATTATTTGAAATACAGGAACAGTTAGCTCCCTTGCTTTGAATCAAGTACTATTCCAAATGCTTTATAATTATTAACACATTTACTCTTTAACATCCCTGAGATAAAGGAACTATTATTCTCTCCAGCTTGCAAAGGAGGAGGAGAGTCAGAGAGGTTAAGTAGGTGGCTCAAAGTCAGCATGGCCAAGAAGTTAAACCATCTATTGTCACCCTACTATCTTCTATTGCATGTTAGATCTGAGCCCAAATGCCTAATTAGTGGCTAATTCAATGGTTCTCAGACTTTAATGAGTACAAGAATCTTGTGGGGATCTTTTGAAATGCAATTTCTGATTTAGTAGGTCTGGGATGGAACCCAAGATTCTGTATCTAGCAAGTTCCTAAGTGATGCTGATAGTGATGATCTGAGAATCACATCTGGGGCAGGAATGTTGTCAATCATGGTCTTGTCAGATCTCATGGCTCTGGGCTGCATTGTAGCACATGGGCTGCACTATTGATTGTGTAGCATTTATGTAAGGTGTGCAGGGAATGACATCAAGATTCCAAGTGAAAACTTGATGTGATCATCTGAGTCTTGCTCTGGCAATTTTTAGCAACATTTAGTTGCCCACTAAAATTCCTTGGAATCCTAAGATTTGTCTGAATTGCTGGATTGTTGTTGTCCTGTAAAATCCACTCCCCATCATCAGTGGAGAAAAGCAGGGTTACATAACAATTTCAGGATTTTTCAGTTCATTTCACACAGCTGTGCTCAAGAACTTAGGGGACTTAGAAGCCAGTGTAAAAATATGTTTCTCTCCTCTGGGAGACATTTTAGCTCAAGAGCTACTGATACAGCCTCAAATCCTCAAGACAATTTCCAAGGAACTGCTATTGGCTAACAATTGTGCTTTTGAGGTCTGCACACAAGAGAAAGAATTAATTTGCACAAATACAAAAGCTTTATGAGCCTATGGTAAGACGTAAGGAGATAGAATCATCTTTTTTAAATAAATATTCATTGAGCTAATAAGCATTTTGCTACATGATTTCAAATTGAATCTCATATTTTAATTCTTGCAATATCTCTGTTTTTTAGATTTAAAAAAATGAGGTTTGAGATTTCCATGATTTACCTAAGGTCTCATAGATAATATAAAATAGATCTGGGATTTGGCTTCAAGCCCAGTGTATTCTTCCCATTATAGAACTTTGACATTGTATCAGTCTACACAGGATCTAGACAGTGTGAAGGACCTGGATTTATATCCCAGGCCTTGCACATACTGACTACATAACTGTGGGTAGTTTGCTTACATTTTCTAAGGCTCAATTTTTTTTAAATATGCAAACTGGAGAGAGGGTCATTATTTTAGGTGTTTGTTTTGTTTTGTTTTGTTTTGTTTGTTTGTTTTTTGCAAACCGAATGGGATTCATTTAATGAGATTAATTTTAGGGCAATGAGAATTATGTATGGCATATAATAAGTGCTGGATAAATCACAGCACTTTAAAAAAGTCTTACAGGATCAGCAAGATTATCAGAGCCAAGAAGACTTAACTAACACTGCAGTATAGACCAAGATGTCACATTCCCTTTCCTAGTATCCTTATTTCAGAGTTCCCTATACTTCTGTCTTATTACAGATGATGTTATATTAAAATGACCTATTTATGGGGCACCTGGGTAGCTCAGTTGGTCAAGTGTCTACTTCTTGATTTTGGTTCAGGGCAGTCTCACAGTTCATGAGATCAAGCCTCGTGTCCATCTCTGCACTGACTGTAAGGAGCCTGCTTGGGATTCTCTCTCTCCCTCTCTCTCTCTGCCCCTCCCCAGCTAGTGCATTCCTGCTCTCTCTCTCTCTCTCACTCTCTCAAAATAAATAAACAAACAACACAAAATAAAATAGCCTATGCATGTGTTTTCCCCTCCAGACTATAAACTTCATCATGTCTTATTCATGTTTGTACCAAGTAGTAACACAGTTTCTAGACCATGGCAGGCATGTAGTGCATGTGCATTAACAAATTATAGCACAAAAGAAGAGAATTTTAATGTGAGCAGCACATTGTCCAACAGTGCTGATTAGTAAAAGAACTAGCTCAAGAAAGTCAACCTGTTCCTCTGGGGTCTGGCTGAGAGGGTAGGACCAATGTTATGCTTAATAATTCTTTTTATTCCATGAATAGTTATTGAATAATACAGTACCAGGAACAAAGACAAATCTTATGCTCATGGAGCTCAAAACACTGTGGGAAGCCAAACCTGTACATAGTGACAGTATAGAGGACCATGCTGTGGTGGAGATATAGGGAGGATTCTGTGGGAAAGCAGAAGAGTCAGGTCTAGGAAGAATTAGAGAAACAAGTTGAGCTGGTGCTGAGTTGAGTCTTGAAGGTTGAGCAGAAACTTTAAGATAGAGTATAGGATGGGGCAGGTTAAGAAAATGTATCACTGGGGGTGCCTGGCTGACTCAGTCAGGAGAGCATGTGACTCTAGATATCAGGGTTGTGAGTTCCAGCCCCATGTTGGGTATAGAGATTACTTAAATAAACTTAAAAAATCAATGGAAACAGTGGGCAAAGACATAGAGATAGAGCCTTAGGGAATAACAGATAGACAGATAGACTGGAGCCTTAGGGAATAACAGATATTTCAAGGTTAGGAATCTCTCCTCTACAAAATGTGAGCTCCAAAAGAACAACAATCTTGATCTCCTGTCTATTTCATTGTAAGTATTTAATAGCACATGGTAGATATTCCACAAATAATGGTTGAATGGGATAAATAAGTGAATAGAACAGTGAAAATATTTAATATGTCCTGCTAAGCTACAGGAGGATCACTGCTCATATATTGGCTCATGATTTGCTATGGTACTTTTAGTACCACCTATTGACACAAAGAGAATACATACATAAATGTTCTAAGTCAAGCAGAAGCCTACACTCAACACCCAAGTTCTCTGGAGAATATACTTACGTTTGCATAAATCACTCATCATCTGGGCCTCCGCTGGGGCTACTATAACAAAATATCACAGACTGCATGGCTTAAACAACAGAAACTTATTTTTTTTACAGTTCCAGAGGCTAGGAAGTCCAAGATCAAGGGCCAGTAGATTTGGTTCCTAGTGACAGATCTCTTCTTGGCTTGCAGTTGGCTACCTTCTTGCTGTAGCTTCACATGGCCCCAAGAGGAAGTTCTTGTGTCTCCTTCTCTTCCTTGAGGGGCACTGATCCCATCCTGGGGGTCCATTCCCCATGACTTCATCCAAACCTGATTGCCTCCCCAAAGGAGAGCCTCATAATACCATCACGCTGAAGGTTAGGGTTTCAACATATGGATTTTGAGGAGCTGATAACGGGGCCTTAATCTTCTTGCCTAATGGAGATACTTTATTCCCCTCTTTTTGTAAGTATGGACTAAATTCTATATTTCATATCTCATTTCAGATAGCACATCTTAGGGATAAAAATAACATCACAGTAGCCATCACAATATCATTCTATGACTCTATCCTTTTCACTTCCCATTTCTTTAAGGAGTTTCCTCAAATTCCTCCCCTATTTAAGATGCCCCCATGGACTATCTCACATGTGCTTGCAGACTTTTTCTTTCTATACCACATGATATTTGCCATTATCATCTTCTCTTGATCATTTGTGCTGTTTGATGTCTTCTGTAGCTGCTGTTACCAAAAGCACTGATGGTCCCACCAAAAACAGTTATGCCATCAGGGTGGCCATGCCTGCCAAAGGCACAACTCTTCGGGCCAGTAGTGGGGAAGTAAGACCCTGAAGGAGAGAGGCCTGTTCTTGCATCTTCTCAGGTCACAGTGAGGGTGACTTCTTGGCTCCTCATGCCTTCTGGACCCCTTCCTCGTTCACACAATAACCCCAGAGCTGCATTCCACCACTCAGGCTGCAAAGTTGTGCTGACTTGAGCTCTGGCTGCCATAGCAGACATCCAGGAAACAGCTTGTCTAGTTTTCCCTCAAATTTTATTGAAGTGTTTCTCCAAGAGACAGGCATGAGTCCACTGGTGCCGAGTACTAAGCACCTTTCTCTGCAATACTGGTCTGGTGAGTTTGGACCAAAGTTATGTTCCTAACCCATCTTTCCCACTGGGGAAGACTCAGTTTCCCTCCTGAGTCAGCCAGATTGTGCCTGAATCCTGGGGCAAATCCAGCTTAGGCTCACATAGGGATTCCTGCTACAAGCAGCAGCTCCCTGCAAGCTATGTATATACTTTGTTTGTGCTCTTTCTCTACTCCATTATCCTGGACAAATAGTTAATACTTGATCACACTTCTTAAATTAAAAACTGGTGGCAGACAGATGCATGGTGTTTATGTGCTGCAGGAAAAAAAAAATGTCTCCTAACAACACTAAATGTTTCACTACGACAAGCAGCCTGGTTCCCTACTCCTACTTCACTGCTGTGTCTGGATGTCCTCAGTCCTGTATAAATACATGTTGAATAAGCAGTCATTTTAAGGCTTCCTGTGAAACAAAAAAATAAACCTTACCTGTGGAGGGTGCATGCCCCAGGACATCATAGCAGGCCATGATCTCAAAAGAATGATTGTGAAGACCTTCAGTACATAAAAAATTGAATCTTAAAGACAATGGTGCTCTCTTTCCCATTAGGATCCTTAACAAAGGAACAAGACATGGCATGAGAAATAGTAGAGTAAAAGGAAACTGAGATGATTTTCAACCACCCTTCCCCTTATTCTAGCCCTGCTACTCTCCTGGCTATTTCTTAAACATTCCAGGAATGTTCCCTTCTCAGGGTCTTTGCAATTGCCATTCCTATACCTAGAGTACATTGATGGAAGAGACTCCACAAGGCTTCAGTCTTCGTTGCACTGTTTGGCATTCCCTGGCCACCCTTTAAAACAAGAGCTCCCTCCCTGTTCCCTGTTCCCTTACCCTGCTTTATGTTTCTTCCCAGCATTTAGTTACCACTTGGCATTATTTGCTTATTTCTCTTATATTGGAGTGTTGGTTGAACAAAGGCAGGAGCTGTGTTTGTTTTATTTACTGCCCTGTCCCTAATATCTGACATGTAGTAGGTGATTAAGAAGTAATGTTTAAGTGAATTATTATCTGAATATAGATTGGGGCACAAGATATTGTTAACCATGAATATGATTAAGTAATATATTTTAAAAGAAATCAGACTTCTACTTCTGGGTATAATGAAGTAGTCTGTGGAAGATTGATGCTCATTCAGAACAACTAGAAAATTAGGTTTTCAAAACCACATATAAACGTATTTGAGGGGCATCAGGGAGTTGATGAAGCTAGAAAGGCTGAGATTCCATGAGGGTGGGGGCAGCAGATTATGGAGAGGTGGACAGATACTCTGCTTTTTCCTTTCTGGGGACATACACTGATTTGGGGAATAGACACAAGGCTGAAAACATGGATTTTGTTTGTGTGAAGAGAAGCTTCTGGGGTAAAGAAACCAGCAGAACTCTTTCTAGTTCAGGGGATTGATGCAATGTTAAGAGACTTGGAGGCCACAATCCTGATCAAAAGGGAAGGGTGGAGAGTTGAATCTGAAATATGACCTGCTTTTCCCTCCAAACATCTGCTGAATTCTGAAGATGCTTGAGACAGGCACGGCTGAAGAAATAAAGCAGAATGTCTTCAAGAGTTGAATGGGGTTGGTGATAGTTTTGCCCAAATGAGACAACATGGATGAGGGTTCAGTCTTAAGAGCTGAGGAGACAAGGACTAGGGCAAAGTCCTTGGTGAACATACCAGGCTGTAACAGTGGTTCCCCAACTTTGTTGCATATTAGAATCACTTGGGGATCCTTAAAAAGTACAGATGCTCTGGCCTCCAAACATTTTTATTTAACGTGTATGAGGTGTTACTTGGGTAATCAGTTCTTATTCTATCCACTTGGAAAAAGAACATCAGCTGAAGCATCTAAGATTTTTTTTATGCACGTGTCCTGGCTTTAATCTTAAAAAAATCACTAGAAATTCCAAGAGACAGGGCTATAGGAGACATGGCCATTGGTATGTGGAGTTTTTACTGTTGTGTATACCAGAGAGTTTGAATGAAGTATTAAATCCACTGAGGAGTTCAGAGTTCTAAAATGGGTCAAGGTTAATGAGAATGTCACTATCTTAGGCTACCTTACATACACATTACTGTCCAATGAGTATTCCAAAAGATTTTTGCTAATCTTATTAGTAGAAAAGAGGCATGGGTCATAGCAGTGCTTGTTCAGGAGTCCTCAGGTGATATTATTTGCCACTTCCTATTCTTGTCAACCCAGTCCATGAACATGCCATGTCTTGTCCATGTCTTATCAAGACAACTCCAAGTCCTCCAATCTGACTTTATTTATTTATTTATTCATTTAGAGAGACAGTGTGGGCAGGGGAGGGGCAGAGAGAGGGAGACAGAGAATCCCAAGCAGGGTCCACACTGTCAGCACAGAGCCCGATGCAGGGCTCAAACCCACAAACCATGAGTTCATGACCTGAGCCAAAATCAAGAGTGAGATGCTTAACTGACTGAGCCACCCAGCCACCCGGCAATGTAATTTTAAAAGACTATTTCTCAGAGGAGAGCTTTAAGATGCTCCGACTGGATAATATAATGAAAGAGAGATTCTTGTTTTCAAGACTTCTAAATCAATGCAATAAGAAATAAGAGATAATGTGGAGAAATTCCAATTATAACATAATTATTATAGGTGTGACACTTTATAGCACCATCTCCTTAAAAGCTGAAAGTATGTTTTCCCATTGTGGTTTTTTAATAATAAACACACTGATGTGTAAAGAGAGGAGCACAATACCTCTGGCATGTAAATGATTTCCAGTAACTTGGGCTTATTGGGCAAGTCTCCTGAGATTTCATTCATAAGCAGGGCCCGGAAAGTGACTGACATAGAACAGTTGTTGTTACTGGTAGATTAAGATATAGACTAGTTTCAAAGGAAAAGAACGAGTTTTTCTCACACCCGTCTCTCAAAATAAAGTAACTGAATAGCTTTAAAAATAACAGCAACAAACAATATATCACCAAAAACCAGGCATCAACTGAAACAATAAACTCTACTCTCTCAGTGGGTGGGAGTCAAAACCAACTGTCAGACCCACATATCTGCTTCTTGTCCATTTTTAATTCAATTTTCCCTTCAAATGAATTGTGGTATGGTCTTAGTTGCTCTGAGAAAGCCAGAGAAAGTGGCTGCTCCATTCAGATATCAGTACCAAACAACACCCTTGGACAATCTGCCTCTTTTCCTGACTTCACAGTCCTCTTTTCTCAGTTTGCCTCTAAGTCTTACTTCTCAGAAAATATGCTCCTTTTTAGCCACAGGAACCATTCAGCCAAACAAAATACGGGATAAAATACATTCTGGGCTGAATTAAAACCATTAGTCCCTTGAAAAATCACTCAGAGTGAGTGAAAATGAACAGGCATTTAAAAGGTGCAAAAGAAAGATGGTGGTTACCTGGGAACTCGGTTCAACTTTGAAGACTTTTCAATTAAATTACTTAATGAGTTGAAAGAATAGAAGGAACATAGATGAGAAAATGAGTTTGCTTGTTTTTAGTCAGGAACAATTAGAGTAAATGAACCATGGTTTTCAGGGTTGTTATTTTTCATGCGTTCTACTTCAAAATTACTTCTGGAAATCTAAAAAGTAAAGACTTTCAAGAGCTGTTTTTTCCAAGTGAAGGGCACTGAGATATGGAAGAGGGGAAAAAGTATTAGGGAGAGTGAATCCATAAGGTTCTTTGAAGTTGGGTGGGTGAGGAGTATAGAAAATGACCTAACAATGAAAAACAAATATTGTGTTTCCAAATAAGGTTACCATGGAAAGAATAGAGCCTAACTCTTATTTTTAATGTGCCTTAGAGTACATTAACATTCTGTTTTGATAAATAATAATAACAATAGTATGATGCAACCTTTAGTTTACAAATTTAATGGGAAAAACTTGGAAGAAGCAATGGATAAAAATGAAAAACACATTCTCCTATTTCTCCTGTTTGTTTTCTTTTTTCTTAAAGGTGGTCTTTCTCCATCCAAAGTGTAATTGTATGTGAAACTCCATCATTTCCCTTTCTGCCTTTCCAACCCAAAGGATGTCAGTCACTATTGTCACCATCATGCCATTCATCTGAAGTCTTTCGCTAACTACCACAATTTAGTAGGTGTTTGGTATTCCTGAAGGTAGTATGTTTCAATAAAGACACATTCAAGCTACTTCTCCATACTCATTTGAAGTGAAGGCTTGGTAATGAATCTATTATTTAAATTAAGAAACAGTTCTGGGACATTGTTTTAAAACATTGATCTTATTTTAGAAAAAGTGACATACAGCTTGGTTTGTTTTTCTCAGGAAAAATGCTTTCTTTATTTTACAACATGGATATTTGCGTTTCTCTTCATCCACAGTTCACTATACTGAAAAAAATAACAGGATGTGTAAAAATGAAAGAGAAAAATAAATAATAACATGTCAAGGTGTTTGCATTTCTTTCCTTTTTTCTTTCTGGAACTTACCAAAACAAACAAACAAACAAACAAAAACAAAACAAAAAAAAAACCCTGCCAGGTCTGATTAGTGAACATTTGGAGCAAAGAGACATTGTGTGTAATGTCAGCAAAGCCACAGCAGCAAGAGACCCCAGGATATAGCTGAAGGGAATGTTTATCAGACAAATGTGTCTCAAAGACTCTTGGTTCTTGGAGGCACCTTTCCCACCCCTTCCTGTTTGCATTCCTCAGAGTCAGGTTTCAGCTAGGGGATGGAAATTAAATAAAGGTGCACTGGGGAAAACATAATTAGTCCTTAAATCGTAGAATCTCAAATTCGTGAAATTTCATTGAAAGTTCAGCTAGAAGTCTTAAAAAAAAAATGCCTCTGGGGCAATCTTTCCAAGTTTTCTCTCAAAAATTTAATGTTAGCGTACAGAAGTAATGGTTGCTCAATAATGAATGCCCTTTTGTACCAAGCTAAGAATTTCCCTTAGCTGACGTTTCCACCTGTGGAAGAAAAGGATTCACAGGAACACCTTCACCCAGACCTGTTTCCACGTGATGTTTGCTTTAAGTTTTCCCTCAGAGCATCCAGAGCTTCTCTCAGTTGTTTTTTGCAATGGTTCACATTGGCAAACACATCACTGAACAACACGATGTCAATCTCTGAGCATCCTTGGGTGTCAGTCCCCTTTATATAAGAACCACCCTGTGAAGATGAAGGATTTAATGTGGGTCAAACCTAAACTAACCTTGAGGGAAGCACAAATTTCAAGTTGTAGCATTTTAGGGTCAATTAACATTGTGGAATAGCTTAAATATGTGCAGTTTAACCCCCTTCACCCTGGGCGGGGAGGTGCGGAACAGAAGAAGGAGAAAGCAATCTATCACGGTCTACTGAGAATTTAGGTTCAGCTATGAAAAAGAAAGCATAATTTTCCAAAAAAGCCTGAAAATCCTTATGAAGACAGAGAGCCGCTAGTTCTCAGACTCTTTCTGCCTGAAAGCCACTAGACTGTATGGAACCTACAGAGGCAGGAATCAAATTCACCACTGTGAAGCCTGAAGCTCACACCTAGCAGTTGTCAATGAACAGCTAGACAGGTGCCACCGGCATAAGTGTCCTAGCACAGACCCAACCTGTGAGAGCTAGAACCACAAGTGACTGAGGTTTCTGGGGGATGTTACTTTTCCTTGTTTCTAAATAGATCTTGAATGCTTTTTAATAAGTGTTCTGTAATTATAATTACTGAGAATTTACCTCAAATCTCTCGCTAAATATAATTTTATAAAAGTCAAACTGGAAGGAATTAACCGTACTTTATTGCCTTCTTTAGCACTCCAGGAAAACTTCAGGTTGCAAGGTCCCACAGGAATCTCTTTAGCAGCAAAGAAACCTGTTACCTATGATTTGGTAACCGTCATGTCCCAAATAAGGCAAAAGCAATCTATCAAAGGTAGACTGTGACACACAAATGACACTGTGATTTCACATGAAGTTAGAAAACATTTCAATGCTTGGCTCCAGAGTCATTCTGTATCTGCTAATCATGAAGACTAAAATAGGCGTCTCATGCCCTACCATCTCTACCCCAACTTAACTCTGTTCCTAACACGGTTCTCACCAGTGCAACTAATTTACAAAACCTATTCCCATTACAAGTTACAGTGACAGGGGCGCCTGGGTGACTCAGTTCGTTGAGCATCTGACTCTTGAATTCGGCTCAGGTCATAATCCCAGGGTTGTGGGATCAAGCTCCATGCTGAGCATGAAGCCTGCTTGGGGATTCTCTTTCTCTCTTTCTCTTTCTCTCTCTCTCTCTGCTCCTCTGCTCCTCCTCAGCTCACATGTGTGCGCTCTCTCTTTCTCTTAAAAAAAAAAAAGAAGAGGAAATTATAGTGACAGAGGAATATGGGAAATGTAGTTTTTAGCATCTTTAATCTGAGAGTTCTTAATACACTAATGTGTACTGTCACTATTCAAGAATGGACTAAAGGGCACAACAATTCTGCAACTTAATCAATCATTAGCTCCTGTTTTTGGCAAGCATCAGTCAGGACTAGAATAGAACGCTGACTCTTATCTCTGTAGAAGAAAATACATTGTTTCATATTCAGGCATTGCCATAGCTATCTGAAGGAAGAATTTAATCACCCTCATAAATCATATTTGCTACTGAGTTACATTAAAAATCGTTTTTGCTTTTAAATAAGTTTATGGCTGAAAGATGATTTTATAACAAATATATGTGCATTTGCAGTTTTCTTGACATCATTTCCAAAGATTTATTTTTTTATTTTTTTAATTTTTCTAAGCAATCTTTATACCCAGGGAGGGCTCAAACTCATGACCCCGAGATGGAGTCTCACGCTCCAACTAGTGAGGCAGCCAGGCACCCCATGTGTGCATTTTAAAACGAAGGAGTGGAAAAATTATCGGAATAAAATGCCCACAGAACTGCCCTGTATTTTTTTCTCTAAACACGGATGAGAGAGTATTCAGTGACAGTATTAATGGTAAAAATAATAATAACGGGGCAGGGGGGAAATCATACCATCATTGCTATTTGGATTCCTTTCCTGTGTTCAGGCCATTTTTCTTCAAGGAAATTTTCTGTGCTCTCTGGACAACTGTTCCTGGACTCAGTGAGTTGTCTTTAAGTTGACAGGGAGCCCATCAGCGCAGCACCTAATTACTTCCACAGGCAGATTGCTCAAGCATGAAACAGGGCCCTGGAGGACAGGCTCACCTCCTTTGCCTGAAATTCCCTTAAGCATTTACAAATATCAGTCAAGTGTAAGCCAATTCTTTGGTCTTGCCAATGTAAAGGCACTTTCATCCCTCGGGCAAAAATTGCCAACCTTAATGGACTCCAGCTGTCGCATGGTTGAGTGCCTGCTCCACCAGCCTGAAGCCTGCCCTGGCATTTCAAAGAGCTCCTTGCGAGCTGTGTCACCCCATGCAGAAGGCAACACTGGCCTTTGAACATGTGGCCTTGCCCGGCTGATGTTCATTGCCTCCATGAGGAAGGAATGGCTTCCTTAGGGCTGTGTGGCCTGGCTCAGATTACCTGGATCACTCGGGAGGCCGGCACCGGAAAGCAATCCTGGATCAACTTGAACAGGGCCCCAATTTCAGCCACACATGCAGTGCTCAGATGACCAGAGGCAGGGCGGATATTTTTATCTGCAAATCTCTGTAGCTCTTGGGGACTTTTACACTCCAACATATTATGAGGTGAAAATCCTGTAGACATTTGGGCTGCATAGAGAAATGGCCAGTATTTGATATTCACTGTACAGAAAAAGATGTGTGTGTCTAAGGCAAGAATCTAATTTTATATGTAAATTACATCTAGTCAATCACCAGGACTATCTAGTTGTAATAACAGGGAAACTGACTCTGCTGGTAGAGCATCAGGTGAACAGCAAACTTCACTCCCACCAGACTTAGCTGACATTGAACCCTAGGTCTCTATAGAGAAATGGCTGAACAGATACTCAGACATTCTTGTATGAGGAAAAAAATATTTGCTCCAATTTCCTCAATCATTTTAAGTTCCTAAGTGAAAAACATATATGTTAACAAGTTTCAACAAAATGACCCCAAGGTATAGAATTCCAAGTTAAACCATCTATTAAAGGTCTCAAACTGTCAGTCCAGGGGCCATATTCTGCCTACAGAATGTTTGGTTTGGCCTGCACAGTGTTTTCAAAAAGAAAAAACTGAGCCAACACCTAAAAACCAGAAGATAGTACTTTTTTTTTTTTTTTAATGGGGACATCGTAGGTGTGTGTTTTGAACCAGAAGAGCTGACAAGACTAACCACATCCTTCACGAGAAGGAAGTGAATAACTGAATTGCTAGGTTCAACGAATGGAGCATGTGAACTAAACTGAGAAAAGCAGATTAACAGGAGAAGAGGCATTCAAATTTTACTGATGCTAATATATTTTTTTAATGTGCATAGGTCTCTTTACAGAAAAGAAATGAAAATTCAAAGTAGCGGTGAGACGTGGGGGTTTGTATGCCACTTAAAATATAATATGTTGTGGAGAAGTGAGTAGACAGAAGGAAGGGAGTCCGGAGCTTTGAAGGCCAATAAATTGTGGGAAGGTGACTAGGAAATACACAGGGGGAGCTATTAGGTTCTATTAACTATTAAGAAAACTATTAAGGTTTGTTTGGAAACACTCATGTGCCGGCTCTAGGTTATCTGTGATAAAGGCTACTCTCTTCATCTTAGTACAGGAGAGAGAGAGAATTTATGGCTTGCTTTTAGGCAGAAAGGGGGAGAGCAGGGAGTTCTTGTATTTACTGTGTCTCAACTGCCTTGGCTCCAAATAATCAATACACCAAATTGGCATAATTAGGGGTGGCATATCCTGATCCCCTTCAACAGCAAAGAAATTTTCATAACTTTTGCATTGGAAGGATCAGGAAAAAAATCCCTAAGTATCTGCAGTCACAAAGTGGCCCTCATTCAGGTTTATACAATACATTCATATTATCACTGAGAATTCATTACAACATTTTTTTAATGTTTCTTTTTTTACTTTTGAGAGAGACAGAGATAGAGACACAGCATGAGAAGGGGAGGGGCAGAGAGAAAAAGGAGACACAGAATCTGAAGCAGGCACCAGGCTCTGAGCTGTCAGCACAGAGCCTGACATGGGGCTCAAACCCACGAATTGAGACATCATGATCTCAGCCAAAGTCAGAGGCTTAACCGACTGACCCACCCTAGCACCCCGAGAATTCATTTTAGAGAGGCCTCTGGCTAGAAAAGGGCTCAAGTGCCTTAAAGAATTCACTAATTCTCTCTGGAATGAACTTTCAACTGGACTTTCTTTTTCAAACACATATAGAACATTCACAAGAATTGAATACACACTCAGGGCACCAGGGTGGCTCTGCTGGTTAAGCATACAACTCTTAGTTTTGGCTGAGGTCATGATCTTGCAGTTCATGAGATTGAGCCCCAAGTTGGTACTGTCAGTGCAGAAACCTCTTGGAATTCTCCTCCCCACACACCCCTCTCTCTCTCTCTCGCTATGTCTCTGTCTCAAAATAAATAAATAATGTTAACAAGAAAGAATTGAATATATACTCAGCTATCGATAAAACTCAGCACATTTCAGACAACTAATGTCCCACAGATTACCTTCTCTGGCCACCATGCAACTAAATGAGAAGTCAGTAACAAAATAACTAAAAATACTCCTTGCTTTAAGAAATATTAAGAACCACATATTTTAAATAAATCATGTATCACAGAAGAAATCATAATGGAAATCAGAACATACTCAGAAATAATCAGTAACAAGAGACTTTATATCAACACTCAAGGGATACATAGCCCCTTGTTTAAGTTTTATCAATTATGCCAAGTTAACAGATTATGTGGGTTTTTTTTTTGAAACTTTGATTCTTTTGCTTGAAACATAATATCCAATTTATATACTACTCTAGGGGAAGTTCATCACAAAATGATTACTTTCCAGTGACCTCTCTGTATCCAGAATCAATTATTATTTCCTGAAAAAAATTATATTGTTAAAATTCTTTCATAGACCAGCAACCACAAGTTAGTTTAGAGCACAGACCACAAACATGAGAGGAAAAGGTGTAATATCTTAGTTTTGTGGCTATTTTTGACATGGATAGACCATTACCTGACTCCCACCTGATTTCCTGATGCTGTCCCACTTTTGACTGAAAGCCCATAGAACTGCATGAACTGTGTTGTCTCTTTGAATGACACTTTGGTTTCCCAGCTTCTTCTTCAGATTTGGCTTTGCAAAATTTTACTTTGTCCCTGCCACTCCAAGAGAGGATAGTCTCAAGCCACATCTGGTTTCATCCTCTATCGTTCTCTATTACCTATTCCTGGAAACAACCCCTAAAGCCTTGCACTGAGGGAAAATCAAAATATGGTTTCTATGTTGTGTAAATATACACAGAGAGAAAGAGCCAGGCTTCTCTTTTACCTCTTTTTCTGGCTGTGAAGTGATGTTCTTGTATTTCATGCTTCTCCCGACTAAGGACAGTTCCAAAGTGCCTAGAACACATCCTGCAGGTTTTTGATATTTCTGCAGCCATATGCTTTATATTCCTTTCTTCTAGATTTTCCCAGTTGAGCTTGTGTGTCTCCATGGCTGACCTGTCATGTAAAGACTGAGAAAAGGTAAACACATAACATAGGAATTATAAGAACTCTTTGAAAGATCTGGTGGACTTGATTTGGCTTCTCACTAAATGCTCCCGTTCATGAGCACAGAGATTCTCATTCTGTGTTTTCAAAACATAGCAAAGCCCATTAGTTCTTTTGATATAGATAGAAAACTACTGTAGATTAATGGATGAACCATGAGAACTACAGTGCTGGGAAAAAAGATACATCTATCTGCTATATATATATATGTATATATATATATCTCTCTCACCAGGTTTTGTTTTATGAAATCAGAAGAATAAAATCCCGGCTCTTTTTATTCTCTCTGGAGGCTTTAGAAAAATCATTTAACCTAATCGGGGCTTTGTTCCCTCATTTGTAAAATGAGGTGGAGGAAGGAGGGAAAGTATATTTATCTACTTCTAAGCTTCCATTAAAAGTAAAAATTCTAGGGGTGCCTGGGTGGCTCAGTCAGTTAAGCACCCAGCTCTTGGTTTCGGCTCAGGTCATGATCTCACAGTTTGTGAGGTATCTCTCTCCCTCTCTCTCTGCCCCTCCCCTGCTTGTGCTGTCTCTCTCAAAAGAAAGAAACTTAAAAAAAAAAAAAAAGTAAAAAGTCTAGGATTGTGAGAATCCTGTCACTACATAAGCATTTTGGAAAAATAATTCCAGTAGTAGCAGCTGCCCTGGATACAACACTCATGTCCAGTGAACTCTGCTGAGTGTCCCTAACAGCAGCCCTACGAGACAGATCCTTTATAGCAGGACTGAGACATGCCGCTTTAACTACTTCATCCCACCAGGTGGCCTAGGACCTGGAGTTTTGTTTTAATTTCTACTTTCTTGTTAATTAATCTCCATGAAGAGAATTAATACCCAAAAACAACAAATAAAAAGCAGTGGGTTTTTTTTTTTAGAAAAAGTGGGGGGAAACCCCAAGTTTTCCCCTACTTTTTCCCACTTGTACCTTACTGTGATCTTGGAGCTTCTCCCTCAGGACTTCTTGGCCAAATTTTTCATAGTGAACTTTTCCAAAATGCTTCTGTTGAAAGTGATACTTCAGAGCCTTGCAGCTGACAAAATCACTCCCACAGCACTCACAGTTGTAGTATTTGAGAGTCCACATCCTTTCTCAATGAAGTATTAGATCTGGAACCTACTGACCACAAAAACAAAAAGCCTTTGAAAAAAATCTAGTCTCTCAGAGTTAACTAGAATACAGGTATTACTTCTAATGTGCTAATGTGTGCTCAATCACATGCATGTTTCCTAAGAAATGTATCCCTCACTAAAATCAAATGCAATATCATGAAAATACCTACTTAGACAAGCTGTTTGTGAGCTTGGGCTTATAAAGATTAAGATGGCTGTAACATCAGTAAAACAAATGCAAAATGTGTATAGGTATATATGCACATTTTTCTAAAAAGAAATTTCAAGTGAATCTGTGACCCAAAAGACATTAGTAACTGCTGGTTTAGATATAAATCTGCTGATTTAGAGTACTCAAGAATTCCCCAGGAGCCATTGTTTCTTCAATTTTTACCACCCCATTAATTCCCATATTTGAAAAAATTATCATGATCTGTACATGTCTTTTGAATCGCTCCCTCGATTTTTAAAAGTAGTTAAAAGCAGATAAAAAGCAGAAGTTTATACCAAGAGACACAGTCAGGAAGACGTTGGCGATTCCAATCTCCTGTGGGTTTCTCCTGAAACTGTTTATTTTTCTTGTTGCCAAGCAACTCTGCTTGAATTTGTAAAACTTATCTGAAGCTTAGAGCTCCTTCCTCAGAAGTTAGAATTATGGGATTTGTAGTTACCAGTTTCTTAGCAATCGAATAGATCCAGCTTTTCTAACTGTACTCATAAATTATTTTGCATCTGCTGCTGTAACACATTGCCGCAAATTTAATGGCTTAAACACACGAAACTATTGTCTTACAGTTCTGTAGGCCAGAAGTTTGATTTGGTTTCACCAGCTAAAATCAAAGCATTGGTAAGGCTGAACTCCTTTCTTTAGGCTCTAGGTAAGATTCATGTCCTTGTTTGTTGTTGTTGTTGTTGTTGTTTGTTTGTTTTGTTTTTTCCCCCAGCTTCTATAGTCAGCCCACAGCCCACACTCCTTGGCTGGTGGCTCTCTTCTTCCATCTTCCAATGAAGCAAAAGCAAGTGGAGTCCTGTTCACATTGCATCTTTCTGATCTGTCTCCCTTTTCTACTGTTTAATGTTTTCTTATTTATTTTTGAGAGAGTGCAAGCAGGGGAGTGACAGAGAGAGGGGGGACAGAGGATATGAAGCAGGCTCTGCACTGACATCAGTGAGCCCCAAGCCCAATGTAGTGCTTGACCTCACAAACTATGAGGTCATGACCTGAGTCAAAGTCAGGAGCCCAACTGACTGAGCCACCAGGTGCCACACCTTTTCCACTTTTAAGGACCTTTGTGACTCCATCGGGCCCAACTAGATAACACAGGATAGTCTCCCAATTTTAAAGTTGGCTATTGACAACCTTAATGCTATCTGCAAATTTAATTCTCCTCTGCCATGTAAGGTAACAAATACAAAGTTTCCTAAGATTAGGACATGGACTTCTTTGGGGGAACCATTTTTTGCCTGCAACATTGTACTTCTAAACTTCAAACAGAAATAGAAATGAATTCAAAATGTATCTGTAAAAAATGGAAACGAGGCAAACTGTTTCCTTTCTTTGCAAAAACATCTGTGCTTAAATGGTTCTGGAGGCTTTGTCAGACAGAGAGTGTTGAGCAGTGTGCTTTTCACTGAGGTGCGGTGCAGTTCTCCAACTACAGGTCCTATCTCATTAGCAAGGTGTGAAAACAATTTAGGGGTTGTGACTAAGATTTTAAAAAATCAAAGAAGACAAAAGTAGGGAATATTGAACATAATCAAGGTAAATAATGATTTGTGAAACATCCATTACAGCTAAACATACACATATCTGTATTGGGTTAAAACGTAAAATGTATTTGAAAAAATCTAAATTACACGAATTAGTTTATTTCATATCCTCTCATTGGTCAGCAGAAGCTCTATCTCTTGTTTTATTTCCCTTAATTCCCCATCCTCCACTTTCACTTACCTCCTTGTTCCCCTACAGGTAAACATTATAATGTTTTTTGTTATATACATATTTGTTATATGTATATATATATATACATATATATATGATATATAAAAACATAAACATAAATGTTTTTGTTATATATGAATTATATATTATATATATATTTTATATAAAAACATAAATGTTTTTGTTATATATATATATAATATATGTATATATATTATATATATATATTATCTATACTCTGGTCCATTCCTTTTAATTGCTAAAGAATAGCCCATAGTGATATCTGCTATATTTACTATATGTCTTTCTCTGGGTAGAAGTAAAAAACATTTCAAAGTCACTGGTCTAGTGTGAAAATCCAGGACTCACTGGAGAACTTTTAGAACCCTGGAAGTTTTCTTCATCCAAGGCACATGTCTAAAATGTCCACTTAGCTTTCCTGTTGCCAGCCATTAAGATCTACGGGTGTCACTGTTCCCAAACTTAGTCCTGCAGGAAGACATTGGTTGGCATATACCATAAACAGGGGAGTGTACACATTGATGCAAAGTTGAGGAATTTTTAAGCTGAAACACCCTTTTCTTGCCCTCTTCCCTGTCCCTTCCATCATTTTAGCAGACAAGTATTTTAAGGATACTTTGGTTGCAAGGAATAGAGACCTACTGAACATAAAATGGAGTTTATCGAAAGGGTTTTGGATATCTTGGAAAATCCAAAAGTGGGAAGTAAACCCAGACCTCAAGGCCGTCTCTGGCCATACCAAATTGCCTAAAACAGGGTGAATGTTCAATAAACTTTGGTCCAATAAATGGATGAATAGGTGGGTAGAGGAAGGAACTAGAAAATCATCAGGAATCAAGGCAGCAGTTCTCACTGATTTCACTGACTGGCCCTGTACGTCTACATCTCTGCTTTCATATCTCTGCTTCTCTTGTCTATTTCTGCACAAGTGTGTATATGTGCTCTACAATGGTGCCCTTCTAGGGTGACAAACTGCCCAGTTTGCCTGAAACTGGCATATATTAAAACACAGATGTTGCTTCTACTGTGCTAATTTGTGCTTTATCACATGAATGTTTTCTAAGAAATTTTTCCCTCACTAAAATAAAAAACAGTATCATGAAAATACCTGTGTTAAAACCAGGGAAGTATTAAAACCATAGAAGTCTCAGGAAAACCAGAAGGAATTGGTCACTCTACCATTGCTGCAGAGTATGCCTTAAAAATCAGCTTCATAAATCCAGCCAGTCACTGTGAATTAATGAATTGAGTCCCTCCAAGCCCCAATGTTGTGAAGTTTGGAGAATTTGAATGGATCTACCCAAATTGTGATTTGTTTCCTCTACGCCACATGTTCATTCCTAGTCCAATCAACCTTGACTGAGCAGTGAAAGGGGTAGAGAGGTACATAACTCAACCATAAGCTTAAGTACCAAGTTCTCTAAGAAAGGCTGTTGAAGCAATGTTGGCCATTTGTAGTTCACAGATATGATGCAGCACATCATTCAGATTCCCAGCACAAGCTGTCCAGGATCAGAAGAGTGAAGGAAAGAAGACAATAGTCGAATTGTTAGGCCTTCTCAATGAGATTTATCTCCTCCCACGTTTTGCTAAGTATAATGTTTCCAAGCTTTATCCATGTTGTAGCATGTATCATTACTTTTTACAGGTCAGTATTACTCTTTGAATGAATATACTGCTTTCCTTAGTAACCTATGCATTAATTAGTGGACATTTGGGTTGTTTCTGCTTGTTAGCTACTATGAATAATGTTGCTAGGAACATCCACATATTCATCTACAAATTTTTGTATAAACATTGTTTTGAATTCTGGGGCATCTGAAAGTGAAATTGCTGGGTCTTACAGTAACTCTATGTTTAACCCTTTGAGGAACAGCTAAACTGATCTCTATATTTTACATTCCCACCAGTCAATGTATGAGAGTTCCAATTTTTCTATATCCTCACCAACACTTATTATTTTCCATATTTTAGAGTATAACTATCCTCATAAATGTGAAGTGAATATGAAAGAGTTTTGATTTGCATTTTTTGGTGATTAATGATGTTGAGTATCTTTTCATGTGCTTGCTGACTATTTATATATCTTTGGAGAAATGCCTATTCAGAATTTTTCTCCGTCTTTTAAATTTATTATTTTTTTAAGTTTATTTATCTTGAGAGAGAATGTGTGTGTGAGCAGGAGAGAGAGAGAGAGAGAGAGAGAGAGAGAGAGAGAGAGAGAGAGAGAAAATCTCAAGCAGGCTCCGTGCTGTTAGCATGGAGCCCCATGAGGGGCTAGAACCCACAAATCATGAGATCATGCCCTGAGCCCAAACCAAGAGTCAAGACAAGCAACTGAGCCACCCAGGCACCCCCCTTTACCCACTTTTTAAGTGGGATGTCTTTTTATTGTTATTATATGAATTCTCTATATATTCTGGATACCAAGCTCTTATCAGATATATGATTTGAAAATATTTTGCGCCATTCTTTGGTGTGTCTCTTTATTTTCTTGATAGTGTCCTTTGATGCACAAAAGTTTTAAATTCTGATCAACTCAGATTTATTTTCCCTTTTGTTGCCTGTGCTTCTGGTGCCATATCTTAAAAGCCATTACCTAATTCAAGGTCATGAAGATTTACAGCTGTTTTTCTTCTAAGAGTTTAATACATTTAGTCCTTACATTTAGATCCATTTTAATTAATTGTTGATTTTTGTATATGGTATGAGGTAGTGGTTCAAATTCATTCTTTTACATATGGATTTCTAGTGGTCCCAGCACTATCTGTTGAAGAGATTATTTTTCCCCATTGAATTGTCTTGGTGCCCTTGTCAAAAACCAACTCACCATAAGTATATAGGTTTATTTCTGGACTCTCAATTCTATCCCATTGATCTATATGTCTCTCCTTATGCCTGTACCACACTGTCTTAACTCTTGTCACCTTGTAGAAGGTTTTGAAATTGTGTTGTATGAGTCCTCCAACTTTTTCTTCCTTTCAAGATTGTTTTGGCTATTCTGGGTTCCTTGAGTTTTCATGAAATTTTGGGATCTGGT